CCCCACCGGGGACCGGCCAGGGCTAAGACTGCAGACCTGCCCTCACTCTTCCATCTCTTTGTTGTTTCTTGTCCTTAAAGGACACTGCAGTGGCTGTGGGCTGCTAGGGGGGTGGCCGGGAAGATCTTGGGGCTCGCCCGGGGCGCCTTCCCTCAGACCTGCAGCCTCTGACTCTCAGGCCCGGCGTTCACTTCCATTTCTCTTCCAGAGGAGCTCATGGTGCCTTAGCCATGGTGTCCTCTGGTGCAGGGCCCCTAGACACGCCTCTGGAGCCCAGGAATGGAAGGTGCGCTGCCCCTGGTCTCATACACCCCCGATTCCTGTTCCTCTGGTGCCTACCACCTATGGCACAGCACCTGCTGTGAGGCACGTGCTGCTGGCAGTGCCCATTGCTGTCTACATCCGTGGCAGGCCTGGAGTGGACGCCGGTGTCCCTTGGGGTTTCCTCGGCAGGCTGGAGAGATGTGCTGGCAGTGGGAGCATCCCAGGACAACCGTCGTGTCTTCTCCCTCCCGAGAGTCCCCTCTCCCTTCCCCTGACCCCTCACGACTCCTGCTCCCCCAATGGACATGGCCTTCTGGCATTTGGCTGCTAAAGGCCAGGGCTCAAGATGGTGCCAAATGAACACACGGGCCTGGGTGGTGGCTGTTCTGGACCCTGAGGAGCCTGCCCCTGCCCACCCCATTCACAGTGCTGCGGGGGGTTCTAGCCCCCTGCCCGGGCCTCGCACACATGGAGGCCCCCGCCACCTGTGACTTGCAGAGCTCCGCCTACCCAGTTCGCGTGTCTCTGTGCTCTGCCATGTGGTCAGTGCACAGAGATGCCAAGGCCCCGGCGCCTGTCCTGGTGGTCACTCATCTGCCAGCCACGGTTAGAACACGAATGGCCGTTGTCACCAGCCCGCGAGTAGCACTGACTGTGTTGCTTGCCAACGCTCCTCCTTACAACTATGGTGGGTGTGGCGTTACCACCACCCCGTTTTAGAGGCGGAGAAACCGGGCAGAGGACAGTTAGATGAGTTGCTGAAGGTGCCCCCTGGGTGGCAGAGACAGACCTGGGATCAGGTCTTGCAGGTGCCTCCCAGCTCTCCTGGTGTTACGCGGTGCGGCGGTAGCCACTGGATTGAGGGGCTGTTTTCTGGGGCTGCTGTGGTCTCTGCCTACCCTCCCTCTCTTTCTCGGGTACCTCTGCAGTGGGTTAACAGCAGGCATTACGGCTCAGGTCCACACGCTGAGGTGGGCAGCTCCTGTGAGGCCCATTTCACAGACAGGGAAATCGGAGCTCCACATGGTGACGCAGCGTGAGTGGTGGGGCACAACTTCCAAGTCCCGTCTGTGCGACTCTAGAGCCTGGGCTCTCAGCCCTGCTCCCCGCAGCCTGCCCTCTATGCTCCCCTCTTGCCCCCTCCCTCCCCTCTCCGCACTGGTGTCCCTCAGGGCTTCTCTGACACCTTCTGGGGGGGGGCGGGCCTGGGATGGCGTCCCGGCATTCACAAGGCACCTCACTGCCTGCGAGAACAGCGCGTACACACACCTGTGCGCCCTGCTCTCCGGAGACCACACACAGCGTTTTCGAGGACTGTGTGCTCCCCACGCACAGACACTGTTCTAGCCACCTGGTGCGTGTCAGTGCCGCTCAGACATCAGGATGATCCTACGGAGGGCGCATTCGTGTGGTGCCCATGGAACAGATCAAAAAACTGAAGCCCAGGGAGCTTCTGTGAGTTGCCCGAGGGCACATAGTTCTCAGAGGTGGAGCTCACAGCAGAGGGAGGGGTGGCTCCCCGGCAGAAGGAGGGACACTCCTGGTCCTGCCTGCATGGCTAGTGTCTCTCTGAAATAATTCTTATGACTGATGTGCTCTGCGCACCACACCAGGCCTTCCCATCTCTCTCCCCGTCCCCGGACTCTTCATGCCCGGCACTCCTCCCCGGTCCAGTGAGTGCCCGGAGCAGAGACACAGAACAGCCAGATCCGGGGCACATGCAGACACCCTCCGGGAGCCCTGGACTACACACACACACACACACACACACACACACCGGGCTGTGTGTGTGTGTGGGTGTGGGTGTGTGTGTGTGTGTGTGTGTGTGTGTGTGATCTCTCCCTGCCTCTGTCTGCCGATCCTGCTGGTCTGACAGCGCCCAGACTCCCTGTCTGGCTGCAGATCCCCACACGTTGTCATTCACCAGCATTTGCCTCAGAACAGCCTGTGTTGGCTTAAGCCGTGATGACAGCATGCGCTGGGTCCGTCTGCCGCGCATCCTCCCGCCCCGGTGCGTCTCCCCGCTGCGTGTCTGCCAGGGGGAGGGGAGGAGGAAAGGAGGGGCTCTGTGCTCAGGCCGAGGAGCGAGGGTGGTGCCTCCTCGCGCCCCATCCTGTCCCTCTCAGTTGTAGGAACGTGGCTGCCCTGGCATTTGTGCCGTGCACTGGCTGCCTCAGCGCACATCCCATCTGTCACAGCATCCCAAGCCCCGCCGCACCACCAGCCTCCCTCTGCCACATCCCCTCCGCGGAAAACACTCCGTTAACCACGGGAAGATGAGGGCGTCCTGGACCACGCAGGAGGGTGGCCCGTGTGGCTGGAGGGAAGCTCCGAATGCCTCCTGCGTGGCTCGGTGGCTCCCGGAGGAGCGGGGGCCGGAGGGCGGGAGGGCCGGCAGGCAGCAGCGCGCCATCTGTGCCGTCCTTTGTGCTGGCAGCTGAGCAGTCCCTGCACCACTGCGATCCAGCGCCTCGTGCTTGGCGTGCAAATGAGTTTCCAGATGCCCAGTGCCCCCCACACAAAGAAGCAGTAACGAGGGTCCTGGGAGAAGAATGGAGCAATCTCGAAATTCATTTCTGTTTGTGAATAGCTGGCTGCTCCCCGCTCCCCCCGGCTGCGGCAGACCTGTGCGGGCGCCCACTCCAGAGGCGTTTGCCTCGGTTTCTGAGCAGACACAGGCCAGGGTGGGGGCTTCTCTCCTCCCTGAGCAGTAGTGGTGGCAAGATGAGCCCCCAGGAAAGGGCAGGGCACCTCTTTTAAGACACAGCTAGCCCATTGGCACCTGGCCTGGGGAGGGACACAGGCACTCTACTGGGAGGGGGCGGGTGCTGGGCTGTGGCCCCCCCACGGGCATCTGTGTGCGCTACACAGCTGGGAAGATATGCCCAGCGGCCCTGGGGGGACCCCTCACCTTCCTGCCCCATTCCCTGTAAGAACCACTGCCCTTCCCTTGACCTTGGGTCCCAGTGCGCTCATGGGAGCGTGGGCACCTCTCACGCTGGCAGCTCACAGCCGGCCGGATGGGCGGGGTGCTTCTGCTGGTGCTAACACCGCCAGGAAGGAACCCCCTGCTCCCTAAATGCTGGGGCCCGTTTGCTCCCCATTCCTAATAGGGCTTGCCTGGGCCACAGGCAGGGCCAGGGCCTGGCAGAGTCTCAGATGGCTCCCAGCCCTGCTGATGGGGGACCCTGCTCAGGTTCTGAGCGGTTTGAAGCAGCAGCTGCCCAGTGCCGGCCGGACATGAGGAAAGGCGGACTCAGCCGAGGCCTGCGATTCCGTCCCAGGGGCTGGAGGCCATCCTGCTCAGGGTTTGCCTTCTGAAGGGCTTCAGCTCCTCTCCACATGCTGGTCCCATGTTAGACTCTATCACTGGGGCAGGGGCACCAGCGGTGTGTCTGGCCCTTGCTGGTTACTGTGAGCGAGTGACTTTGCCTGTCTGAGCCTCAGCCGTCTCATCTGTAGAATGGGGACAATAGCTGACATCCTGGATCATGCGGGGCGGATTCGAGGAAAGGCCACAAAAGCATGTTGCACAGCGTTCGGGTGGGAGACCCTGGAAATGAGGGAGTGGACTCTGTGTCCAGCCAAGTGGCTGAAGGCCCCTGGCCCCCTGGCCTGGTTGACTATTTCCAGAGCTAGCAGATCACTCTGGGGAAGTGCTCGTGGCAGGAGTGGGGCATGGCCGGGGTGGTGTGTCCCCCCCTGCCCCTCCCCCCGCCATTGGCTTCTGCACAGTCTCAGCAGTTCCCCTGTCACTCCTCACCACACCCCTGGGAGGAAATCAGGGCAAGAGTCCTCACTTCTTTCCCCTGCAAGCAAGCTGAGGCCCAGAGAGGGTCGGCGAGCTCCCTAAGGTCACACAGCAAGCTGGTGGCAGCCGAGCCCTCCTGCCTCCTCCCTCCCTCCCCAGACCTCGGCTCCCTCTTGCACTTTGGAAAGACTGACCAGACGTGCTGACCCCGAGGGTGCTTCTGGCCCCTGGCAGCCACACTGGGCAGTGAAGGAGGAAGGAAAACGGGCACTTTTCTACCTGTTAACTCGAGCTGCTTCCCTCTTGTTCTCAGACCTTTTCGAAGCCTGCCTGTGGAGGGTTCCCATGCGTTCCTGCCTTCGGCGCCCTTGGGAGACCCTGGCTTAGACCCCCCCCAACCCCACCCCTGGGCAGCCCTCTGGCCTGGGGATCCCCTGTCTCCTCCAGCCTGTGCAGCAGCGCAGGGCCGGCTTCGGGTGTGACCGAAGCTGTGGGCACACCTCTCAGGAGAGCCCATGGTCAGCGGGGCTCCCGGGAGAACGGTGCAGGCACTCCTGGGCTTGTCCACAGGCTCCAGGAAGGCTCTGGGCTTTGGTTTGGGCTCCGCCCGTGGGGAGGAGCCACGTCGAGCTGCTTTTCCAGAGTCTGGGGCTGGGCTTCGCTGAGACATCTGGGGGCACTGGCGGTGCTATTTGGCTCCCCCTGGTCTCCCCTTGGCATCATCCCTGCCGTCCCCTCCACCGTCTTGACTCTCTCCTTTGCCATTGAAATCGGCCCTCTGAGCTGCTCCTCCAGCCACAGAAGCTGTTCAGGGGGGTGTTAGTCACACTTTACAGGTGGGAGCACGGAGGCCTCCTGAGCAGCCTGGGGACTCGCCCGGCGTCACGCAGAAGCGGGGAGCGTCGGCACACGGGGAGAGGGAGGTGGGGCGGGCACGTCCGGGTGGTGGCCGAGGCGACACTAACCGTCCTCTCTGTCCCTGCAGCCCTGCTGTCCTCCTGGTGCGAGGAGCTCGGCCGCCTGCTGCTGCTGCGACACCAGAAGAGCCGCCAGAGCGACCCCCCCGGGAAACTCCCCATGCAGCCCCCCCTCAACTCCATGAGCTCCATGAAACCCACCCTGTCGCACAGGTGAGCGGGTGGCGTCCCCGGGGGGAGGAGGGGCAGGGGCTGCTGGGTGGCAGGCAGGCTTGGCCTCGAGGTCCAGGAGGAGGCAGGTGGCCAGGCTGACTGGCAGGAGGCTGCTCGGTGGACAGCGTGCGTAACGCAGCGTGGACTGCACGGGTCGGTGGGAAAACCCGCCATGAACCTGCGCGGTCCAAACCCTCGCTGTCCTGGGTGAACTGGACTTTCACAGAGAAGGTCCGCGCGGTTCTGACCCTCCTCCTCCTCCACACCTGTACCAAGTGACACGGAGGGAGCAAGCTCCTTGGCCTTTTCATAAGGAGCGGTGGGCCAGGTGTGCGTGGGGCCTGGGATGTTCGGGATTTGGTGCCGGCGGTGCCTGGCTGTTTGAAGATTCGGGTCCTGTGTGAGGGCTCTAAGGACAAGCAGACCGGAGAGGCTGAGGAATCCAGGAAGCTAGGCTCCCCAGGCTGTTTGGGGGCTCTGTGACTTGGGTTTAATGCAGTCACGCCCCTTTCAGGCCACAGAGGGCAGAGGGGGTGCCACCGCGCCAGGCTGTGGTTGGGGCCAGTGTCTCCAGGCGAGGCCCGTAGTGCTGCCAGCGCCCTGAGGAGGGGTCAGGAAAGGTCAGGTCACGGCAGCCCCGAGGTGTCCGAGGCGAGGCAGCCAGGAAGAACCCTGAGTGCCCACGGGCTTGCTAGAGCTTTAGGGTTTGGGCAGCAGCGTGTTGGTCTGACCACGGAGCAGTGGGAGGTGCAGAGCCACGCCCAGGAAGAGGGGAGCCTGGCAAGGCCAGCCCAGGGCAGGAAGGGGCTCCGGCCTGTGATCAGGCAGCAGGGTCCGCCCAGCCCCTGCACAGTGACCCAGACTTGACACCAGCAAGCGTTTCTGTCTTTTGCTCCCAGGTTTTTAATGAGTGGTTAAAAAAGCCAATTGTGATTAACACATTGTCCGTATGCAAATCAGTGCTGCAAAGGTAATTAAAAGCCTAATAAATCTAGTTTACACTCTTAATTTGATTACGATCAAAGCCCAAAGTTGCTAAAAAAGACTCTGAGGCTGAAGGGTGCCACCTCTTCCGGGTAAGGGGTGTGCAACCCCCTGAAGAGAGGCTCCTGGGTAAGGCACTGGTGCTCCCCTTGAACCTGGGCAGGACACTGGTGCTCCCCTGAACCTGGACAGTGTGCTGGTGCTCCCCTGGATCTGGGCAGTGTGCTGGTGCTCCCCTGGACCTGGGCAGTGTGCTGATGCTCCTCTGGACCTGGGCAGTGTGCTGGTGCTCCCCTTGAACCTGGGCAGTGTGCTGGTGCTCCCCACTGCAGCAGGTTGGGGCATAGGCCCAGAGCCAGGCTGCCAAGAGTTGACTTTCAGCTCTGCCGTCTTCTAGCTGGGTGACTTTGGAGCAGTTCCATAACCTCTCTGTGCCTCAGTTTCCTCATCTGTAGAAGTGGGATAGCAGCAGCACAAGACCTACATGCTCGTCACCAGGCCTGCACGCCTGGAGCCCCTTGGACAAGGTGTTATTCTCCCAACCCCAGCCTGGTGACATCTGACTTAAGGTGGCCATTTGTGGTCAGCTAACAAAGACTGGGCCTCACTCCCTTGGTCATAGCTCTCCACCTTCACCACTTTCATTTGTAACTGTTTGCACACCTACCTAAAAGCTCAGTTTGTAATTGACCCTTTTTCTTGCCCCCAGAAATTTTTTTTTTTTTTTTAAAGAAACAGCAAGTGAAAGGGAGATTGAAGGACGCATAAATCCTGCTATATCAGTTCCAGGTTGCCAAGATGCACGTATCTTTTCCTCTCCTCCTTCCTATTGAAAAAAATGTAAGACCCTCCAGTATGCAGTTAGCTGCACCGGTTCCTCTCTGCTTCACCGCGGGGGGAAAGAAGCCCCAGTCACTGTGATGATGGAGAGCGCCGCTAATGGCTCCCCTAAATTAAAGCGGTGGGAGTGCTGGCTCCTCGCTGCCTTGTGTTTCTTAAGTGATAACACCCAGCCTTGCACAGAGACCAGGCCAGTGGAGCTGGATCGCGGAAATTCATTAGGCTCTGACAATGCCCTTAATCGGAATTCGTTATTTCTCCCAAATAAAGTGGCTGTTAGAAGTGCAGGGGGAGAAATAGCTCAGCCCTCCTCCTCCTCCCTCCTTGACGGCCTGCTGACACTGCCACGGGAGGTGCCCAGGAACCAGGAATCATCCCTCCCTCTTCCTGGGCTTGACTCATTTCCCACATTTAGCAAACACCAGTCACTGCCCATGGAGCTGGCAAACACACCTAGGAGCCATCTACTCTCACTGCGGTGTGAAGAGCTCTATATAACATCTGTGAAAAATGAGCCGCGGGAACTGAGGAAAATTCCCTGGGCTCTGTTTAGGAGAGTCACAAAAGGAAGTATCCAGGCTGGGCTTTGAAGTATAGGTGGGCGTTCACTAGATAGAAAACGGGAGACGGAGGAACACGAAGAGGTTTGGAAGCTCTGTCCAGCAGTCAGGAATGATAACACCTCCTCCCATGGATAGCGCCTTCGTTGGATCATCTCTAAGTGAAGATGGGTACTTACAGGGCAATCAGGCTGGAGAATGGCAGAGAGAAATGGAAGTACAGTTGGACAGGGGCTGTCTGCCAGGCACTGTGCTAAACGTTACCTGTCTTTGTATGTTTCATCCTAGCAGAGTGTTAGTCCCACTTCACAGATGGGAAAGTTGAGACTGACTTGTCCCAGGTAACATGTCCCAGGCCACAGAAATCACCTCTACCAAAGCCAGGACTCCCCAAAGAGTTCAGTTCAGAGCCCAGATAGGTAAGCACTGTCCTGAGAGGCCTCCCTGTGCCATTCGAATGTTAACTTCAAAAACGTTAAGTCAGAGCCCTTGGGTATTTGCCAGTATACTGAGGGCAGGCCAAAGCTAGCGATTTGATGTAGAAGGTGTTGTTTTCCTGGGACACTAGTTGGGTTTTCTCTGCAGCCTGTCTTTGAGGCCAAACTGTACATATCCTCTGTCCCCTCCCGCCGGTGTCTTCCCAAAGACAACGTGCCAGGAAGCCCCGAAGCTGTCCCTTCCTTGGTCATCCTCACAGCGTGCCTCCTTGCAGTATAGCCAGTTCTGTAGGGGCAGCCCTGCCTCCTGGATCCTAAGCTCCCTTAGAGGGAGGGACGGGCGGCCCACTGCGCCCTGGCCCTTGAGTTCTGGGACCCAGTGACCCTCAGCTCCTAAGAGACGCTTCCGTTGAGCTCACTCAGAGGAATTAAACAAGTTCTAAGTGAAAGTCACTCACCTTGTCTCTGTGAGCAGACCACTAAACGCATCATAACCAGAGCAGCAATAACCACAGCCACCCGTTTTAGGGTGCCGAGAGGTGCTGGACTCAGTCATCTTGCCTTACACATGTGGGCCCGCTTAATCCCCATGACAGCCTCAGGAGGGAGGGGCAGTGACCATCCCCCTTCTACAGGGGACACTGAGGCACAGAGAGAGGGGTGGCTTTGTTCACCTGCCTCTGTCCCTCTTTCTGGAGGGCAGGACCACCCACTTCCTGGGTGCAGGGGGCCTCTAGCCACAAGCACGTGTAGGTGGTCGGCAATCAGACTTAATGCACGGACGCTTTCGTTCATTCCCGGCCGCCCGCGGAGGATGAACGCAGTTGGTGCTGTTTCTCCCTGGCACTTCGATTAGCAAGGGCTCCTCAATCCTGTGCAGGTGGGAAGGCATCTTACCAGGAACAGGGAGCCCGAGAACTCTGGGCTCCTAGGCAGGGGGGCTCATGCAGACCCCAAAAGCAGGAGGAGTAAGTGGACATGGCCAGGCCTTCCTGAAGAAAGTGGCCTTTGGAGGAGGAGCCTCGACAGGATGAGTGGCATTTTTCAGGGTGGGGACGAAGCAAGCAGCGAGCTGCCCCGTGTGTTATAAGGCGCTCGGCAGGGAATACCGCTGAGATTGCACGAGGCTCCTGGCACAGGCACCTCTGCAGGAGGAACAGGGTTTGAGGCCATTCGGGCTGCTGGATGGTGGCTGGGGCAGCTCAGGCCTGAGGCCGGGTCATGCTGGATCCAGGATGTGCAGAGCTGGGCAGGATTGCTAAGCACGGGGTTCTCGGATCCTGGGGGCTCTGGCCTGGGCTGAGCATATCTGTTGGTGAAATAGGCCTTGGCCAGGACGGGAAAAGAGTCTCGGAACACCCCTACACACACACACACACACACAAACACACACACACACACACACACTTATCTTTGTCACCCTGGGCCCTCTCTCATCCTGTAGGGCCCAGGAGCCTGGCTTGTCCTTGATCCTTGGGCACTGGGCCAGGAAAGCCCTAGTGGTGATGTCTGAGTGTGGGCAATGGCATTGGCCGGGCTGAGTGCCGCGCCTGTGGGGGCGAGAGTCTTCACTGTGACAGCAGGAGCTGTCTCCCCAGGAGATGAGTCACAGCCGTGTTGGTGCGGCTGCCACTTCTGCTTCGGCAGCAGGTGCGAGTGGAGGCGAGCAAGTCCCCGAGACCACCCCTGTGTGTGCCCGGCTCCTCCCCCGGGTGTGCACAGCGGCCTGGCCGCGGGGCTCGTGCGTGTGCACACATACGTGAACCTCATACGCAGGCTTGCCCACTGGTGTGCGCCTGGCCCCTGGGCCAGCCTACCAGCCAGTCGGCGGAATGCCCAGTTTGGGAACATTGGCTAAGTTTGCTTCTCACCGAATTTTGGTTGAGGGGGCGAAACAGGAAGGAGCCGGTTTCCGCCCACAAGGCCCACCCACACCGCGGCAGGCAGGCAGGCAGGCAGCCGGAGCTGCTTGTGGGCCTGAGAAGGATCCGGGTGAGCTGTGAGGCAGCAGCTGCTGGCCTCTGGGGCTCGCAGGGGCTTTGCTTCCTCAGCCTGCCAGGTGCCTCAGCCTGTGGTGGGTGGAGCTTATGGGGCGGGAGATCTGGGGAGAGAGGACAGACCCCGCTTGTGCTCTGGGCAGTCTTGGGGGTCCTGAGTTCCATCCAGCCACACCTAGGACAGGGGCCCCTCCGCACGAGAGAGCGGGTCCAGTGTTTCCTCTTTGTTGTTGGGCAGGATTACTAAGAGTTGGGTTCTCAGATCCCAGGCTTTCTGGCCTCCCTCTGAATGGCAGCCAGATATGGACAGAGGAGGGCAGTACTTCCTGGAAAGGCCAGGGACCTCGGCCTGGAGAGCAGAGGTTCTTCCGGCCCGGCTGCACTGCAGAGCCGGCTCGCGGCTCACTTTCCTGCACTTCTCCTCCCGCCCGGGTCCCCAAGTCAGCACCCCCAGGTGTCCTGTGAGCTGTCTGTCCCCTTTGGCCTGTGCCTCTGGGCCGAGGCCCCTCTCCACTGACCCTTTACCGTGGGTGTCTGGCCAGCAGGGAGCCGGCAGGAGGGCTGGTCCCTGAGAGCAGCTCCTCTCATCCCATTCTCGGCCCACTGTTTTCCCCGGGAGTCCTGAGTGCGCCCGAGTCTGGGTCACTTTGCAGCTCAGAAAGCCTCCGTCTGCATTCTCCTCTGACTCACCTCCGGCGCGCTGCCAAGGCCTGCGCTGTTCGAGCCTCCCTGACCCACAGGGAATGCGCACATCACTCCGTGACCCAGGGCGCATCTGTACTGCCCATGGAATCGAGACAGAAGGTCAAGGACAGCATCCAGCCTCACCGAGTGCTCTCGCTCAATGGCTTTGTTTTGGTCCCTCTTTCCCCCCGGCACCCGTTGGATGTCTTGACCCACTCGTGTTCCGTGGCCAGCCTCTGGAAAACACTGGGTGGGTGGGGGTGGGGGAGGCGCCATTCTTAGGCCCACGTTTACCGATGAGGATGCTGAGTGCATCAGGCTCGGAAGCGGGCGCCAGGTCCCTGAGCCAGGCAGGGTCGGGACCAGGACTTGTGCCCAGGCTACCAAAGGAGGCAGAGCGAGGGGAGAGGGGATGGAGTGGGGTTGCCCTCACACCAGGAGGGCGGGACAGGCCCGCCAGGGAATGCCTGGTGAGCAGAGATCAGAGGGAAGCCCAGGCCAGGCCTGGGAAGAGCCAGCATAGACACAGCCCTGCCCTTCAGCCTGAACACCTCTGCCCACCCAACCACCCACACTGCCAAGGGCTCCACCTGGCCAGGAGCAGGTGCAAGACCCCCAGCAGCCCCTATGCCTGTGGCACAGGACCACTCCCTCCTGGAAGTCCTGGCCTCGGGTGTGAGGGAAGGTCTTTGTCTTCGGCTGACTTCCTGCAGTGAAGGCACAAGCCCTCTGCCATGCCACCCTCCTCCAGAGCTGCTCCCCCCACGTACCCAGCAGTGCTGCCTTGCAGGTCTCATTCCCTCCAGAGTGCCGTGGGCCAAGCTGGGACCCCGATTGTGAGCGCTCTGCCTTAGGTCCTTCCCGGGGCCGTACGTCTGTGCAGGAGTGGCTGAGGGGCGAGGCACCCCAGCAAAGCATCCGTGGGCTGGGACCCTGCCAGCCCTCTCTGGGGCTGTGCCCAAATCCTCTCTCCCCTGGGTCTGCTGGGCCTCACTCTCCACCTGCACCACAGCAGCTAATCATAGGAAGCCACTATTGAGCACTTGCTGTGTGTAGGGCAGGGCCTGGCCTCTTGTGTTTGGGGTTCCTCGAGAGATGTCACCAAACAGGTGGGTCCTGTTGGGCCCAGCGAGGTGACTGGGAAGATGTGGGAACAGCAGGGGTGGGGGGGTGTTCCGGGACTCGGGGGGTGGGGGAAGGGCCAAGGCGGGAAGCGTGCAGGGGATGATTTCACAGTGTCTGTGTGGGCTTTGCCTTGTAACATGGGGGCAGTGGAAACCTCTGACTGTGCCCAGTCTTAGGGGCTGGAGCGCTTAGCCTGTCAGGTGAGCACAGAGGCCAGTGGGAGAGGCGGCCCAGAGCTGAGGTCTGGAGTGGGAAGAACGTGACAGGATGCTCCCTCCAACCGCCATGCAGGCAGCCCCCCACGAGGGCTGGGGAGGAGGGGGAGAGCCAGCACTCAGGCTGGGGCCTTCTGACCTTTCCTGAGAAGGGCTCGGGGAGTTCCAAGGGGCCTGGGGGTGCCTAGGATCGTCCTAGAAGCCACTTAGAGTCCGAGCGTGGCTGCAGGGGCGCTGAGTCAGCCTGCGGTCTGTCTTCTCCTCCTCCTCCTCGTGTGGCCTGTGGACTTGAGGCTCCGGGGACACAGACAGCCTGGGGGTGGTCCCTCGTCAGGGATGGGGGCGGCGGGAGAGGTGGTCACCCTTGCAGTCTGCCACCACTGAGGTACACCTGTCCTGCACCGGCCTCCGTGCCAGGCCTCGGGGATGCAGAATTGCCTTGGCCTGGCTGGGAGCCGCAGAGCACGGCGGGGTGGCGGGCACGGCCTGGCCTGGTCAGTGTCCGCAGCCCCTGACAGCCCCTCTGTCTCCCTTCGCAGTGATGGGTCGTTCCCCTATGACCCTGTCCCCTGGCAGCAGAACACCAACCAGCCTCCCGGCTCCCTCTCTGTGGTCACCACGGTGTGGGGCGTAACCAACACGTCCCAGAGCCAGGTAAGAGCCTGTCCCGCCCCCACCCACAGCCCCTCCGGGTGGGACCAGCCCTCCTTGCTATCCCGGGCTCTGCCCAGCTGGCAGACCAGCGTTCAGGGCACACCCAGTCGTAGGCACGCCTCCACCCAGGATAGGCTCACACCTGCCTCTGGAGGGCAGCAGCCGGCCCCTGGGCACTGCCCCATCCCAGGGCCTTTCTGGGGGAACAGCTTTCATCTCAAAGACAGACAGCAGGGCTGCTTCCCTAGCCCGTGGTGCCTCGGTTGGATAAACAGAAGGACTTCCTGAACGTTAATGACATCAGGAGTCCAGCGTCCGGGGTCTTTGACCCTGGATGACCTGGGTTAGATTTCAGCAAAATGTGAAGCCTAAACTCTGACAGATCCCTAGTGAACTGTGAACCCTGCCCCCCACTCCGGTGCCTTCCTCTTTTCTCCACTCCTTCCTCTCTGCCCGTCCACCTCCGTCCCTCCCTACCATGGCCCGGAGGCCAGCTCAGGGCTAGTGCTGCCCCGGAGGGAATCACCTGGGTCTTGGGCCAGAATTCTGCTGCCGCCCATCGCGGCCACGTTGGGCTTCTCTTTGCCGTCACATGGCAGCTGCCAGGGCCTCTGCATGGCCACCTCTGGGCATCCAGACCCCTTTGCTTCCCCGCCTGCCGCCGGCCAGCTCCTCCCTTCCCCACTGGCTGAGGTTTTCTCTGGGTTACTCCTGATCATCCTGCCCTCTGGGCACAATAGATGCCCTCTTTCTTCTCCTTTTCCTCTCCTGTCCTCCCTCTGCTTCATTTTCTCCACCTCCCTTTCCCGTTTCTTCTTTTTCTCTCCATGTCCCCTGGGGTTACTGGCTTTAGTGACAGCCACCCTTTCTGCCCACAGGTCCTCGGGAACCCTATGGCCAATGCCAACAACCCCATGAATCCAGGCGGCAACCCCATGGCGTCGGGCATGACCACCAGCAACCCCGGCCTCAACTCCCCCCAGTTCGCTGGGCAGCAGCAGCAGTTCTCGGCCAAGGCGGGCCCCGCACAGCCCTACATCCAGCAGGGCATGTACGGCCGGCCCAACTACCCTGGCAGCGGGGGCTTCGGGGCCAGGTGAGCCTCAGAGCGCCGGGCACCCTGCTCTGCCCCTCTTCCAGGCACAAAAGTCCATTTTAAGTCCCGGTGCCGGGCTTCCTGGCCTGCAGGGCGGGCAAGCCCAGGCACCTCTGCCCCAGCCGTCCCATCAGATGAAGGGACATAGTTGTCCCTCATTCTCAGGCCGCTGATCCCTGGCCCACAGCAGCTGGGTGGCATAGTGACAGCTCCCGGGCACATGGGGATAGAAGGACCCCGTTCCTCAACATGTGCCTCCTCCTCACACCTGTGTAAGTGGGAAGACACTGAAAGCTGGATCAGGGGAGTTCAAGGGCAGCTATAGACGGGGCTTGGGAGTTCAGCTCTGCCTGCTGCTTACAGAGGCCAAGCTGTGCAGAGGTTGAGAGTCCCAAGTTCAGGGGAAGGAGTAAGGGCAAAGAACCCCCCAGAAGGTGCTCTGGGGACATGGGTGGGGTGGAGGTGCCCCATTTCTCCTCTTGAGACCAGCTCCCAGGGCTGGCCACAGCCCTACTGGGTACCAGCGCAACAGGTGGTTAAACACAGGTGCCATACACATAGGAAGCTGCATCGCCACCCCATCCATGTCTGGATGGCTGTGGGCGTGTTGCTCGGGGTCTCTGAGAGTCCACATCCGCCTCCAGGGCTGAGCAGGGCGGACAAGGTGCAGTGCTTTAATGCACATGACAGTGAGCGTCCGCCACGTTGAGCCCGGGCTCTAGGAACCAAGCAGCATGAATGGCTGCTGGCCTGCAAGAGGCCCCTGCCCCCTCTGGGCTCTGACTCTAGACACCTCCCCGCTGTGAGCAGAGGTCAGGAGGGCCTGGCCATGTCTAACTCTTCCCTTCTCTCCCTCGCAGTTACCCCGGGGGTCCTAACGCCCCCGCAAGCATGGGCATCCCTCCGCACACCAGGCCACCCGCTGACTTCAGTCAGCCGGCCGCCGCTGCCGCTGCAGCTGCCGTGGCGGCAGCAGCAGCCACGGCCACAGCCACTGCCACTGCCACTGTGGCAGCCTTGCAGGAGACGCAGAATAAGGATATAAACCAATATGGACCGGTAAGGGCCCCTCTCGTCCTGGTCCAGCCTGGCCCAGCCAGCCCAGCAGAGAGCCCCCGGGTACCAGAGTAGGGGTGTTGGTGCCTGTGGGGCTGTGTATGCTGAGGGAGCTGCTGGTGGTGGGGTACACTGGGTTTTCGTGGGAGCACATGAAGATTGTATTAGGGTATGGATGTGTCTAGTTGGGTGCATGTGGGCAGAGGTTCCCTATTATTGCTCTCTGGGCCTCTACTCCCCAAAGAGGGGCTCCGTGTCTAGCACAGCCTCGTCACCAGCTTGTCCCCTGGGTGCCTCTGAGGGCCATTGCTCTCCTAGTCAGCATCTGTGAACGCCGCCCAGGTCCTAGCTCTGCCCTCCTGACCTGCAGAAGGACCGGATGGGGTTTGAGGAGGGGGCAGCCCCCACAGGAATGCAGGACGGGTATGTGGGTGAGGACAGCAGGGCTGGTGGGCCGAGGTAGGAACTGGGCCACATCCGGATGGAGGGTGTACCTCCATTGGCCAAGGACCAAGAGTGGGGCCAGGGCTTCCAGGAAAGGGGCTCCTGCCTCCATCCTCATCCGTCTCCATCCTCCCACGTCCTGCCCGCCCCTGCACCCTCTTACCATTCCCTGCCTGCCTCTCCCTGGACATGCTGCCTGTGCATTGGAGTGACCGTGCCCCACCCCTAACCCCTCGGGCTGCATCTTTCCTGTGCGGCCTGCAGAGGGCAGCAGTGAGCCCCGGAGGCTGGCTGCCCCTAGGGGCCTGGTCACCAGCGGCAACCACACAGGAAAGTGCCCCCCACCCCGAGCCCTCCACCTCCCCACCCTTCCCTCCCTGCACTTTCAATGCATGTGGCATTTTATTCTTTTTTTTTTTCTTCTTCTCCCGTTGAAGGTCTGTTCCTCTTTCCAGATGGGTCCCACCCAGGCGTATAACAGCCAATTCATGAACCAGCCCGGGCCACGGGGGCCTGCCTCCATGGGGGGCAGCATGAACCCTGCGAGCATGGCGGCTGGCATGACACCCTCCGGGATGAGCGGCCCCCCCATGGGCATGAACCAGCCCCGGCCACCCGGCATCAGCCCCTTTGGCACACATGGGCAGCGGATGCCCCAGCAGACCTACCCGGGCCCCCGGCCCCAGTCCCTTCCCATTCAGAGCATAAAGAGGCCATACCCAGGAGAGGTGAGTGTGACCACAGGCAGGGGGTTGGCAGGGCTGGCGGAGGGCGGATCCTGGGGCTTGAAGACCCAGGGTTGTGGGAAGTACCTGGGAAAGGGATTGACCCCCTTGGAAAATCTGGGTGTCAGCAGCCCTGCTGGCCGGGCTACGGAGGCCCTTGTGGCCCAGAGGAGTCAGGGCGTGTTTCCATCAGCAGTCAGCCGCTCTGCGGGCTGCCCAGCCAGCTGGGCCATGGCGCGTGAAGATTTAGGAAGGTCAGATTCACCCTCCTGCCTCTGGGATCCGAGGCTTCGGCAGGAAAGAGAGGTCTGAGCAGGGACCCACATGGGGCTCCAAGTGAGGTCAGGGGAGGAAGGCCTTCGGGGGGTGTCCCCAGGCCTGCAGGGAGCACTCGGACCACGAGCTGGCAGAAAGTGGCCTGTCTGGTCAGCTGCAAAAGACACAGGGACCCCAGAACCCTGGGCTGGTGCACCCCCCTCAGGAAGCCTGCCTGGATTCCTCCCCGGACAGAGCCCTTCCGAGCGTCTCCCAGCCCTCGGCGTGTGTGCCCGTTTCACCCCTTTGTCCCGGAACTGTGGCCTCCCATTGGGGCTCACAGTGCATTGACTAAGACTATAAGACCCTGGAAGGTCTGTGGGGTTCCTCGGCGTTCACCTTAGCTTGGGCTAGCAGGTGGCTTGGCCACCGGTGAGGTGTCCTGAGTCCTCAGGGAGAGGTCAGAGATCTCCAGCAAACCCAGGAGCCTGGGCCAGGCCCCGACGTGCCTTCCGGTTGGCGCCAGTTCAGGAAAGGGCCAGGAGACAACTGGCCCCTAAGATCCTGGCTGTTATCGGGGGACCTCGTGCTGTGCTGTTGGCCTCGCTCCTGTGCTCAGCCCTCTCAGCCTTCTCTGGGCTCAAACTCCTGTCGTCCCCACTGTCTGGGCCACAGGGGCCTCCGTAGCCTCGCCAGCAGAGCAGCTGGCACCCAAGGAGCTGTCCATGGAAAAGGCGGCCAGACACCGGCCCAGCGCCTGCCCCAGGGTCCCGCTCCCTGCTGTCCTGCCGCAGCAGGGCCCACCAGAGGCTCTTGATTCTTTTTGCTAGATCATCCTCTCCCTAGAACACTGGGGCGACCCGGTGCACAGTGCCTGACCCTGGGCTGTGACACGGGTGACAGCCGACACAGCCTGGCCCTGTCCGGGAAGCGGCGTCAGCTTGCACTGGCACACCCCCAGAGTCTGTGAACTGCTGGCTCCTGGGGTGGGGCTGAGTCAGGGCCCCTGTCCCGGACAGGAACCTTCTCCAGCCTGGGGGGCAGGCCGCAGCCTCCAGGGATGTGGTGGGGACCTCGCTGTCCCAGAGCCCCATTCACAGCACTGACAGACGCCTCCCCCTCTGCGCTTTATCTGGTCCCTCCTTCATTCCTTGAGCGAGTGCTTATTGAGGGCCTGTGTTGTGCCAGGCACTGGGACAGAGTGTCTCCTGGACCTCTGAGGCCAGAGGGCAAGAGAGAGACGATTAATAGACACGGGGTTTCAGCAAACGGAAGGAGAAAGCACTGACTCTGCAGCACATAATGCTGGGTGTCTGGGTGGCCCGGAGGGTCTTGATCTTACTGATGGGGAAGGTGGCTGGAGGGTGGAGACCAGCATGAGCAGAAGTGGCATGTGCCACCTCATAGCTCTTTGAGGACAACACCCTGCCTGCCCCTCCCCCTCTCTGGAGCTGTCTCCTCTCCTCTCCCCTCCCGTCCCCTCTCTTTCCCTCCCCTCCCTTCCTTTCACCTCCCAAAGCCTCTCCTGAGAGGGTTTTCTTAGCCCTTCCTCACCCTCGTCTCCTGGCTTCTGCGCGGATGGCCCAGAACTAAGCAGTGTGACCCACATGGTGTGGGGTGTGGGATGGGGGACATTGCCCTCCAGAAGCCCCAGATGCAGGGTGGGGTCCCCTTTCCGGAGGAGCAGCCTGTGGTCTGTGTGCCCGTCACGTACTGAGCATCAGGAGAGAGACACAAGTCCCCACACAACGGTGTTAACAAGAGGCTTTAGCGGTCCCCCCAGAGTTCAGAGGGCACGGTGCTTCGAAAAGACGGCTCAGAGCCAGACGGACAGAATGTAACGTCCCCACGTGTCCAGGCAAGAAGCGCCCCAAGCTCAGGCTCCACCTCCCTCTCCACGGGCGGGAAAGGCAGGGGAGGGGTTCCGTGGGCGGGAAAGGCAGGGAGGGATGAAAGGTGGGCGGTCCTGGCAGTCCTGCCAGCGGTTCAGCTCTCGGACACTCACGATGTCCCCGCTCTTCCTCTGCTGCCACAGCCCAACTATGGAAACCAGCAATACGGACCAAACAGCCAGTTCCCCACACAGCCAGGCCAGTACCCCACCCCCAACCCCCCGCGGCCGCTCACCTCGCCCAACTACCCCGGGCAGAGGATGCCCAGCCAGCCGAGCACCGGGCAGTACCCGCCCCCCACCGTCAACATGGGGCAGTATTACAAGGTGAGTCCTCCCCACCCTCCACCTCACCGTGTTTCTAGGCGTAGGGGTCCCCTGCAGGCGCCAGGGTGTGCCCTTGCTTGGAGCGCTGCCGGGAGTGGCCAGAGGCCCGGCTGGCTTCTCCTGGTTCCTCTTTTCACGGGCTCAGAGGATGGTTTTCTTTCTCCCTTGACTATTGGCAGCACACCCAGGATAATAACCATAAAGGAAATACGTCTTTTAAAGGGAAAGCACCCTGAATGCATTACCATTTCATCAAAACCTTGCTTCTTCACATGCGTGTCCAACAGGTTGTAGAGCTGTTGTGGCGGTGATTTTTTTCTTTTTTTTTAAGTCCTCACCCGAGGATATTTTTCCCATTGATTTTTAGAGAGAGTGGAAGGGAGAGGAAGAGACAGAAACTCTGATGTGAGAAAGACACACATCAATTGGTTGCCTCCCGTATGCCCCCCGACCAGGGCCGAGAGTCTGCAACCAAGGTACATGCCCTTGACTGGAACCGAACCCGGGACCCTTTAGTCCTCGGGCGGACGCTCTATCCACTGAGCCACCCCAGCCAGGGCAGTGATGTAATTTTTTAATCTCTGTCACTTGACATGTGATGATGAGCAAGCCCCTTGTGGCCTTGGTGGCCCGTGGTTCCACGGGCGCTGGCCGCCTAGCATGGCCCTGAGGGTGACGGCCGTATTTACCCCTCCTTTCCGGCGGACGTTGGGTTCTCTGAGTTTGAAATGGCACTGTGATGAATGTCTTCAGCCACATGATGTCTCCCTTCCTTGGGGTTATGGCTAAGTGCGTTCTCAGGGGTGGGAGAAGCCTCCAGAAATCGCTTCCATGTATTTGCCGGGGAATTCTGTCCACTGCCATGGCCACCTGCCGTGTGGCATTACTGTTTTTGCTCCAGTTTCGGCACAGTAGTGTTTTTTGTACGCTCTCTTGCTGAGTGACTATGGACAGAGAAAAGGGGAACGCTGCCCCCAGGGGGCGACCTGCTGAGCCCCCTCTGCTCTCCGCCCAGCACCCCCTGATCCCAGCAGATCTCATTGCGGGAGGGAGGGCAGCTCTCCCTCCACTCAGGGCGCTCTTGATCTTGCATTGACAGCCGGAGCAGTTTAATGGACAGAACAACACCTTCTCTGGAAGCAGCTACAGTAACTACAGCCAAGGGAACGTCAGCAGGGTGCGTAGTTTCTGTCTTAGGAGCGGTACCCCGAGTGCCGCTCCCACCCCCAGCCTCTGGAGGGAAGGGCGGCCTGGGGATGGGTGTGCTCTTAGGTCGTCTGTTCTGGGGCACACAAGCCTGGCCAAATCCGCAGCTTCATGGGCGGGGGGCAGGGGGCAGGAGGGGTGGACCTGGCCGGTCCTGGGGACTGAGAAAGGGAGAGGGGCTCCTGGGGAGCCCTCCCCTATGATGTGCAGGCCCCGCTCTGTCTGGAGACCCTGGTGGGCTGGCCCAGAGTCATGATGTGGGAGCGGGAGCCCTGGGCTTGTCTCTCGTCCGGGGTTACATCAGACAAGACTCCATCTCCCAGGGTGGGGTACCCATTGGTGAATGGGCTGGGGGACCTGCACCTCCTGCCTGTTTTCTGATGGGACCAGAAGCCTGGGTGCAGCCAGGAAGGAGGGGGCGGTTTTTCCGGGGGCTCTCCTCCCTCGGGGGAGCGAGGCCCATAGCCTAGCACCTGGGCTGGGTGGAGTAGATGTCCACAGCCATGGATCCTTCCGTCTCTGTGATCCCATCACCGATGTGTGGTTTCTCTTTCCTTCCAGCCTCCCAGGCCAGTTCCTGTGGCAAATTACCCCCACTCACCTGTTCCCGGGAACCCCACACCCCCCATGACCCCTGGGAGCAGCATCCCCCCGTACCTGTCCCCCAGCCAAGATGTTAAGCCACCCTTCCCGCCTGACATCAAGCCAAATATGAGTGCTCTGCCACCACCCCCAGGTGAGCGCCCCACTCCCCCTGCCTGTGTGCGGCCAGGAGCCAGGGGCTCGGAAGTTGGCCTGCCTCTGGGGGCTGGGCGTGTAGAAAGGGCAGGAGGGCTGGAAAGCCATACCCAGCAGGGAAATCTGGGGTGGGGTTCAGCTGCCAGCACCCTCACCACCGGCCAGCAGCCTGGGGCTTCCAGAGCCTGTGGGCGGGAGAAGGAGACAGGGATGGCTGGGCGGGATGGGGCTTGGAGACGGGGAGAAGGGACGGCTCGCTGGTGTGTGCTGGACCACACAGCCCAGCTTCTGTGGCCGTGCTTGTGTGTGCCTCTGAGCGTGCAGCCAAGGGTGCGTGTCATGTGGGTGAGCGAGCCCCACCCACGGCCCCGGAGCCCATGCTTCTGTGCTCCTCCCCCCTTCCCCACCCAGCCACCCACAACGACGAGCTGCGGCTCACGTTCCCTGTGCGGGACGGCGTGGTGCTGGAGCCCTTCCGCCTGGAGCACAACCTGGCCGTCAGCAACCATGTCTTTCACCTGCGGCCCACCGTCCACCAGACGCTGATGTGGAGGTGAGTGTCCGGGCAGGCCCCGTGGCAGCCTCAGCCTGCCCCCTTCCCCCGGTCGGCAGCATGGACCGGCCCTCCATGCAAAAGGCCCTGGGGATATGCTAGGGAACCTGACGGTGCAGAAGAGACAGACAAGCTGCCTTCCCTGGTGGCTGAGAGGAGAGAGCTGTCACTCACCCAGTCCCAAGACTGGGCAGGGACGACTTCCCAGACCCCAGAGCTGGGCGCAGGGTGTCCGGGCAGAGGCCCTGAGCTGGCCGGAGGAACTCGAGAGCGGCTCCTTGTGGCCAGAGCAGGAGTGTGGAGGGAGAAGCTGGGGTGGGAACAGGGCTGGGTGGGGCAGAACTAGACAAGCCTTGCAGACTGCGGGCTGCCATCTGGCGGGGCTGCTGCTCGGACATCAGGAGGGCGACTGAGTGACTGAGCGGCTGGAGGTCCCTGCTGGGCCAGGCCCTGTGTTCCCTGCCTTCCATGCTTGATCTTTGACCTTTGACTAGGCAGTGCTTACCTGGTTAACAATGAGGAAACGAGGCCAGAGAAGCTGATTAGCTTCGGGGCGAGGGGGGGAGGGATTCTCACAGCTGACAAGGGGCGAGGCTGGGACCTGTGTCTCTTGGATGCCAGATCCTGATGGTGTCTGCACCCTCAGTCCTTCCTCCTCAGGCAGGACTCAGTTCCAGGCCATGCCTGTGACCAGGGCCACTCAGCTGCCCAGTGAGCACTCCAAGGCGGGAGATGGGTCTGAGATGGGGCATGCACACACCTGCCCACACTTGCCACCTTGAGCAGGCTGCAGTGAGGGCCAGGGACAGACAGCTGCGTGGCCGTGACAAGAGGGCATGGGCTCAGGTGCTCAGCAGGAAGGTGGAGAGGCCCTGGTGCAGGAGCCCTGCTCCCCACCCCTCCTTACCCATGAATGCCCTGTCTACAGGGTTCCCTGTAGCCCTGCTGGGTTTCATGCATATGTGGTCACTGCTGGTTTCGTGGGGACTCCCTTTAGCGATGTGTCTTCAAGGCCCACTGGGGAGGACTATGCCAGACCCCACCCTGGCCTGGGTGCTTCTCCTGTGCAACAGGGGCCTTGCAGTGGGCATAATCAGCCTCTCAGGCAGTCTTGTCAAATCAGTGTCTTTTTATTTCTCTGTTCCTGTCTGAGGGAGGGGGACGGGGACAGAGAAACAAAAAGACACTGATTTGACAAAACCCTTATAGAGTAGGGGCTGGATATCATGGCTGGGGGGGAGGTGGCTGGAGTGGATGGGTATGTGGAGTTGTGGGGGGACTGGGTTGTTGGGATGGGTTTTGATTAGAGGTGGGAGCAGCGGGAATCTCCAGGGTGAGAGAGGAGAGCCTGGGGAGGCTGGGGGAACAGTTGAGGCCAAGGCTAGGGTCTGCATGATACATGGGGCTGTGTTGAGTTCGGGGTGCATGGCCCGGTGAGGTGTCATGGAGGCCACGGGCAGCCGCCTGGCAGAGCCGACCTGAGCCCCGCGTCACCCCGCCTCACCCCCAGGTCTGACCTGGAGCTGCAGTTCAAGTGCTACCACCACGAGGACCGGCAGATGAACACCAACTGGCCAGCCTCGGTGCAGGTCAGCGTGAACGCCACACCCCTCACCATCGAGCGCGGCGACAACAAGACCTCCCACAAGCCCCTGCACCTCAAGCACGTGTGCCAGCCGGGCCGCAACACCATCCAGATCACCGTCACGGCCTGCTGCTGTGTGAGTGTGTGGGCAGCGCCAGGCACGGTGCCGGGAGCACGGTCCTCACCCCCTTCTCCGCCTTGTCCCTGGGTCTCCCTGCCCTATCCCCGCAGCCTCTGCACTGATCTTTCAGGAACACCCCCAAGAGACATGCAGAGGCCCCGGGCTGTGGAATAAAAGCCCCCGAGGCCGCTATGCTCTGGCCTCTCCCCTACACCGCAGGCTCCGTGCAGTCTGCACTCTCTCTCCACTTCCTCCCAGAGGCCCCTCTTCCTAGTGCCCCTTCCATCCTCCATCTCCCCCAGGACTCTGTGTCCCTCAATGCTGGACTTCATCCTCAAGAAATTGTCATATTCTCGTCACCTTTCCCCCCCGAGCCAGCTCCACCAAGTCTGGCGTTATCAACTCCTTCCCTTCCTCAGTCCATCCTCCCAGAATCCCGTGGTGTGTGTCCCTGACCTGGGACTCATTGCTATCGGGCCACATCTGAGCCACACCTCTGTCCCCAGAGACCAGGGCTTGGCACAAGGGCTTGCGTGGAAGTGCATCGCCTGCCTTGTTCTGGAGCCTCTCGGGACACAGGAGAGGGAAAAGCTTTGCTCTTGACCTTACGAGCATTGGGGCTGTGAGGCCTCCTGGAGATAGGAGTCACAGGACGGGATGCTCTCAGAGGGAAGAGCCTGTGGGGGCTTGTTGGAGTGTGCAGTCCTGGAAGGCTTCCTGGAGGAGTGAAGATAGGGACACTCTCAGGCAGAAAGGGTGGAGGATGCTTGGGGAAATGAGGGAGCAGTGGTGGGCAGGGCTGGGAAGTGAGGCAGTCTCCAGTCCTGTTGCCCAGTGTCCCGTGACCCATCCCAAGGTGCTTGAATGTCTGCCATAGCCTTGTTGGCTTAGAGCGGAGGCAGCTGCTCCCGGGTAGTGACCCCAGCCTGGGTCCCTTGACTCCCAGGTCCAAGGACACATCCTGGTCCTTGAGGGCTTTCTCCCCCAGGTCTTGGGGCATCTGCTCCTGAAGTGAGTCCCTGTGGACATGGCCTCCTAGGAGCCTCGGGTACGGGGCAGCCAGGAGGCTCCAGGTGGGTGGGCCATGGGGGCCGTGGGACAGGACCAAGCATCTCTCTTCCCCGCAGTCCCACCTGTTCGTGCTGCAGCTGGTGCACCGGCCGTCCGTGCGCTCCGTGCTGCAAGGCCTCCTGAAGAAGCGCCTCCTGCCCGCGGAGCACTGCATCACCAAGAGTGAGTGAGCCCAGATCCCGCCTCCCGGGCACGGTCCATCCGGAGCCTGTGGTTCCGTGTGCGACTCCCCGGGGCCCTGAGGGGTCCTCTGGAAGCCAGCCCTGGCCCCTGCCCTCCTCTGGCTCCATGGCGATGATCCGATGAGCAGGGGCCGGTGGGAATTCTGACCCACCTGGTGCACATCACAGGATGTGGGGCTGGTTAACACAAGACCGTCCTGTGGTGTAGATAGGCCGGGTGGGCTTCCTGGAGGAGGTGAGCGCCTGGGAGGATGGGAAGATCTGGAGAGGGAGGAAGCTTCCCTAGGAGCGAGGCCTCACTGTAGACAGAACGGCCTGTCTCGGAGTTCATTCCTTTGGAGGCATCCCCCGGTGACGGTTCTGGGGCGCCCTGTGGGGAGGCGCCCTGCTGCTCCTCCCTGTGATCATGCTGCACGGTGCCTCCTGCTCCTGAGAATCCCGCCGGGCAGTCCGCTGTCTGTTCTCATTCCCACACGCGCAGAATGAGGTGCAGCGCCTGCGGAGGCTCCGCTGACCCAGAAAATCAGTGGGGAAGTGCCAGACAGGGTTTCTGCAAGTTCTGCAGAAAGTCTCCTTCTTGGGAAGGCAGGGCTTGTTCTGCGGAGCCCGGGGCACGTGCACCCCACATGTGTCGTACATGGGCTGCTGTTGCAGAGTGCAGATGGTCTGGGGTACCCGGCAGGCTAGTTATTCCCAGAACCTCCCAGCTGCAGGGTGGGGATAGAGAACCAATGTGTTTCATCTGCTTGAGGAAATGGGGAGGGACGTGTGGCCCAGGGCCTGCCCTCCTCACCCACCTGTGCCCCCCACCCCACAGTCAAGCGGAATTTCAGCAGCGTGGCAGCCTCATCCGGCAACACCACCCTCAATGGGGAAGATGGCGTGGAGCAGACGGCCATCAAAGTGTCTCTGAAGTGCCCCATCACATTCCGGCGCATCCAGCTGCCTGCTCGAGGTCATGATTGCAAGCACGTCCAGGTGAGCCGTCCGCACAGCCGCTGGCATCTGGCCGGGGTGGGGAGGGGTCTGCCTGGGGCCGCAGGGCCTGCCTCTGACCTCTGAAGGACACAGTAGCCACCAGCCGAGATTCCACTACGTCAGCCGTCATTTACTCTGTGAACATCTGGGTGCTCAGGGCTGGGGCCAGGAGGCTGCAGAACTGGATTTAGGCGGTTCCTACCCCGGCAGATGGCAGATGCCAGCTGGAAGTCCTGCCCGTACAGCCACAGCTGGTTCAGGACCTGAGACAGGAATGCCTCTGCCCAGTCACTGCTGTGCTCCTGGCCTTGCCCGAGCCGGTACTCAGGAAATGAGTGACAGTCCGGGCGGCTACCACAGACACTGTGCAGATGCGGGCAGCCCGGCTGGCAGGGTTCACTGTGCTGGGGCTACACAGGAAAGGAATTCCAGAAGAGGGGTGTGGGAAGGAGGAGAATAGGCTTCAGGCTGGGCAAGGTGGACATCTGATCACTTACTTGACATGCTGATGAACTGGACCACATGTGTCCTCAGTACCCGGGCTGGGCAGATGGGAGACTGGAATCCATGCTGCCCCCAGCCCCAGCAAGAAGGGCAGTCAAAGGCATGACCGACCCATGAGGGGCAGCTGCTAGGCAACCAGGAAGGATGTAGGCACAGGGTGGCGTGAGGGGGGCTGGGCAGAGGCGTGCGGGGACAGAAAAGTAACCCCACCCGACAGCCAGCCCTGCGTCTCTCCTCCCTGCTCCCTCCCTGCTGAGAGGCCTTCTTTGGGCCTCAGGAGCTGTAACATTGCATCAAAGCAGTGTCTGAGAGTCCTGATCTCTTCTGTCTGTCCATCTGTCTCTCTGTCCGTCTGTCTGTCGGCCTCCACAGTGCTTTGACCTGGAGTCATACCTGCAGCTGAATTGTGAGAGAGGGACCTGGCGGTGTCCTGTGTGCAAGTGAGTGACCTCCCCGCCACCGCCCCACCCCCGCGGAGCTCCTCGGCCTCCCTCCGGCCCTGCTCCCTGGGTCCAGCACCTCCACTGGCCCTGCAAGCCAGGGAGAACCCCAAACAGCAGAGGCTGGGGTGACAGGAGCTGTACACAGTCCACTCCCCTGAGTCAGGCAGTCACAGGGCCGCCTCCTGGCAGTGCCTGCAGCATCACCAGCTGTGGGGATGGAGTGTGGTGGACACAGTGAGCGGGGCGGGCCCCCACTCTCTAGGGTCCAGGAGCATGGCCAAGCCGCTTCTCTCTTTTTCCAGTAAAACTGCTCTGCTGGAAGGCCTGGAGGTGGATCAGTACATGTGGGGCATCCTGAACGCCATCCAACAGTAAGTGGCTCCCAGCAAGGAGCACCGGGGGGCAGAGGGGGAGCCTGGATTGGGTGAGGGAGCATGTCAGCATCCCTGATACCCTGGGCTAGAAAACCTCTTACCCATCTCTCACCTTCCTCGGACTTTACCTCTGGGGGCAAATGCACTTTCCAGAAAGGACCAAACGCAGCCAGGGTAGGAAGCTGGCAGTGTCCCCAACAGCCACTTCCCGGGTGGGGCCAGCTGCCCTGTGTCCGGCCACCTCAGTCATAGGCCTGGGGCAGGGGACCTGGGCAGGGACATCTCCCGTTTCCAGCTCTGCCCCCTGTGGCCTCAGCTCTGCCCCCTCCTCCCCCAGCTCCGAGTTTGAAGAGGTCACCATCGACCCCACGTGCAGCTGGCGGCCAGTGCCCATCAAGTCGGACCTGCACATTAAGGATGACCCCGACGGCATCCCCTCCAAGCGGTTCAAGACCATGAGCCCCAGCCAGATGATCATGCCCAATGTGATGGAGATGATCGCAGCCCTGGGCCCTGGCCCGTCCCCCTATCCACTCCCGCCTCCGCCCGGGGCCAACAACTCCAACGACTACAGCAACCAAGGTGGGTGATGCCAGACAAGGAGGGCAGCACTGGGGCCCAGAATGGGCAGAGGACTTCTTTGCTGATGGTGACAGGTTACGAGGAGTGGGTATGAAGAGTCAGAGGGCATACGCCCCCCAGGACAATCCCACATCACTGGACTTGGGGATACGGTGGTCCATGCACCTCCCATCTCAGTCCAACTGCCTGTCCCATCCAGCCCGGTGGTTGGCGCCCAGCTGGGAAGACTGAGTGAAGAGCTGCCCCATGAGCCAGCCTCCTGCCTCTCCCACCCCCCTGCCCCACTCCGCCCGCCTGGCCTCCTCCCGACTCCAGGCAGGCAGGTGCCAAGCCCAGGGGCTCCCGAGCCTGCTTTGCTGGGGGCACACTGCTACCCTTTCCCCAGCCTCCGTGCTCACTGGGGCAAGCAGAATACTCTCCCATGGAGCTCTCTGCCCTCCCCTCGTCTCTGACATCAATATTGTCCCTTCTCGGCACCACTCCCACCCTGCCAGGTGCAGAGTCCCAGTGTTTGGAGCTTCAGCCTTGGGCTACCAAGGTCACCATCACTGACCTCTTACTCTCTGCTGCCCAAACCAAGCTTCACCACATGGCCATTTCTAGAAAGTTACCCCCCCCCCCCCCCCGAACACGGGGCAGCAGCTCCCTCATAGGATCCTGCTCTTAGGTCCACAGTGCTCCTGTGCCACAGGCCCAGAGGGGCTTACCTCCCAGCCAGTGGCCCACAAGGCCCCAGCGTGCCAAGGGCCAGGCTCCCCGAGTGCTGATCTGACCTCTCGCCAAGGCCAAGTGCTGGGCTGGGGAACAGCAGCTGGGAGGCCAGACAGCTGGCTTCTAATGGTGTCGTCTGGATTCTGTCGCAGTTTTCTTTGTTAACTTGGCAGACCCTGACCCATTCTGGGATGGTTGTCCCAGCCATGAGGTGCAGCCCTGTGGCGGCCGTGGGGGAAACCTGTCCAAGGGCTAGCTCAGCATTTCCTGTGGAGGCCTGAGGCGTGGGCCTCACTCCCTGTCCCCTTCCCACAGGGACCAGGCCCCCCTTCTCCCACTCTGCCCCTCGTAGCTGTAGAGCAGCACAGGCCCCGGGGCTGAGGCCACTGGACAAGGTCGCATCGCTGCCCACAGCACAGCCCGGATACTGAGGCTGCAGGAGCCAGCTGGGGCCTCGGAAGGACAGGACGTGGTTCTTCATTCATACACCGCCTGCAGCCCAGGGTGCTGCCTTCCCTGCAGTGACCACCCATTTGTCCCCCCCCCCCCCCCAGGCAACAACTACCAGGGCCACGGCAACTTCGACTTCCCCCATGGGAACCCTGGAGGGACGTCCATGAATGACTTCATGCACGGCCCCCCCCAGCTCTCCCACCCGCCGGACATGCCCAACAACATGGCTGCCCTGGAGAAGCCCCTCAGCCACCCCATGCAGGAGACTGTGAGTACCGCTTCCTCGTCCCACCCCAGCCCCCACCTCCCCAGTCCCCACCTCCCCAGCCCCCACCGCTGCATGGGGCTGACGGGCAGACGGCGCCCCGAACCTTCTAATGTTTGCCTCGCTCCTCCCAGGCCAAGGGGAGGACTGAGAATTGGGTTTGGGGCTCAGGAAGGAGTGAGAGACTACCTGGGGCTGCGTCCTAGCCCATTGGCACCCTTGAACCTGTTTCTCCCAGGACACAGGCTCAGGAGATGGAGGCTTCAGGCTCCTCCCTGCAGACACATATGCAGACACACATGCACAACCCATGTACAACCTCACACACATGAACACCCTATGTACAGCCTCACACACTTGCACAACCCATGTACAATCTCACACACATGTACATCCTCATGTACAGCTTCACACACTTACACATCCCATGTACAGCCTAACACATATAACACCCCATCTACAACCTCACACCAACACCGTACACATCCCCACATGCCATTCCCTCCCTCTCTCCCACTTAGACACACTCTTGTGTTATCTTACGGTAGCCCCGGCTTGTAGAATTTTGTCCCAAACCCAGGAACTTACTCCCCAGGGCTCTGAATCCTTGGGGTATCACCACTTCCTGCAAAAAGGAATGCCGGGAAATCTGCTTATCCTGAGTATGTTCACTCTGGTCCCGTTTTACCTGTTACACGTCCTGGCTGAGAAAGCCCCTGCGGGCAAGCTGTCCACGGCCTCCCAGAGGCCTCCCCCCCGCGTGGCCCTGGCGGCAGAGGTGGGAGGCCATGAGCACCGGTAATTCCACTCGATCTAACAGGTGTTTCCTTAGCCTGTGCCCGGGCTGGGCCTTCACCCTGATGGAAGCAGGACAGACGCGGGCCTTGCACTAATGGAGCAGAGTCCTGACAGGGCCTGAAGGGAGCAAGAACAGTCGGGGTTTGGGGGAAAGCCTGAGGCCGGAGGCTGAGGCTTCAGTGATTCCGTCTGCTCCTGAGGAGGAGCGCGAGGAGGGAAGGTCAGGGCTCCCTCAGAGGGGGCCTGTTTGGCAGCAGGCTGGGTCATCCTGCACCGGAAGGCTCCCTTCAGGCCCGTCATCACATGGCCCGGAAGGAAGGGGCCTCTGGGGTGGGCCGTGCTCCACACACCTGAGAGGGAGGTAGCCCTGCCTGGCGGTTAGCGCAGTGGCAGAGCCAGGAGTCTAGGTAAGGGGCGCTCTAGCAGCTTTCCCGCAGGACCCCACATGCCAGGTAGGAAATAGCTGCTTTCTCTGCACGTTGGCCAGGTGCTTTCTGCCCTGTGGGGCTCTCTACTTCCGGGGGCCTTTCCCAGCCCTGTCCCCAGGACCTTAGCATTCCATGGCCAGCACCCTCCCTCTCCCCGCGCAACACAACACACACACACTCCGACTCTCACATGCTGCACACCAGAGCCCTCCCGGGCCCCAGCGCAGGCAAATGGCAGCGGATGTCTTTCGCCTCCTGTGTCCAGCGGGACTTTCTCTCACCATGTTAGCCCTGCGTCTGGTTCCTTGGGGATCTAAGCCTGTGAGTTGACTTCATGGTCCCAGGAGGTTCCCCAAATGTGCACTGTCCTTCTCCGTAGATGGCAACTGGACCCAGAAGTCCAGCGGTGCAAGGTGGGGTGGGGTGTGGCGGTCACAGGTGAACTCCCCCACGCCTGCCCCTCCAGGGCTGCCTGCTGCAGCTGAGCATGCCGCTGGGCAGGATCCCTTGTGCCAGGGGCCGGCGGGAGGGCTTCGGCCAGGTGCTGGCTCACTCAAGGCCTGTGCCAGGTGGCAAGTCGCCGGGTATGGCCAGCAAGTCCAGAGAGCATGCGCCCCTCTGGGTCCTGAGACACTCCAGCAAACTCAGGGCCAAAGGGAGCAGCCGTGTCAGCACGTCTGGAGACTGTCCTGGGCTGGGATGCCCCGGGAGTATGGAGCCCCTTCTTGCCCCCCAGAACGTGGGCTGTGGGGTATCCACAGGCATGGGTGGGAGTCAGAAGCTGGCCATATCCCTCCAGCTCCTCCTGGTCCTTCTCCCCTCGTGTGTACCCCACACTCGCTGCCCTGGGCCCCCATCTCAGGGCCTCCGCTAAAGGGGCACTGCTACGAGAGGCCACCTGGCAAGGGCAGAGGCCAGCCCACAGCCAGAGGGAACAGGAAGAGGAGGGAAGGTGTGGCTGCCATTTTCAAACCCACTAAGGGGAAAAGGAATGCTTCATGAGACCCAGAAGGTGGGGAGGGGAGGACGTACCACAGGCTGAGGAGACGTTTGCTCACCAGGCTGCCCTGGTGGGTCCGTGTGCTCCCCTCACTGGCCATGTGTGTGGGCCGGGGGCCTGGCGGGTGTGCTGGGGGCAGGGGAGGGCTTGGGCTCAGCCTTTCTCTTCAAGACCTCAGCTCTGAAGGAAGGCGGACAGCAAACAGACTAGCAGGGGAGTTCAAGTCCCACCCACCACCTCCCCTGCCCACCCACAGCCCCCATGCCCAGCGCGTATACCCACGGGAGAAAGTGGGTCCTCTAGTTCACCTGTCAGAGAGGCACCACCCACCTCCACCTTAGCAAGGCGAGCCCTGGTGCCCTAGTGGTGGGGAGGTGCCTGCCTTCCATAGCACCCGGGGTACAGCCGGTAGGTGGGTGGCAGGAGGAGGAGTCTGGGAGGCCCTACTCGGCTCCTTTGAGGCTCAGTTCTCCCTGCCCCAGGGCATCAGGCAGGGCCAGCACGGAGGCTGCTGGAGGAAACCTGTGTGCCCACTTGGGGGGCACAGACCCATGAGCTGCACGCCTGCCCCATGCTGTCTGTCCGTGTCTGCTCGCCTCCCCCGGCCCTCGGGCGCCCGCACCATGCTGCCAGCAGGACCCTCCCACCCTCGCCCTGGAAACATGCCCATTGTGCTTGTCCATCCACCCTCGCTGTCGTTCATTGTGGTGGAGTCCGGGCTGGGCGGCGGCAGGCTCCGGGGGCTGGCCCGTGTTGTCTGCTCATCTCCAAGCCCCCGGCCACCGCCCTCCTGGGCCCACAGCCTCAGAGGCCCCTTCCCCGCCCTGCCCTCCACAAGGCAGTTTTGGGGGAGAATTTTGTTTGTTTCTCTGCAAAAAAACAAAAACAAAACAACAAGAGCAGCACTCAGCTTTGTAGGGGTTGGCTCTGTTTTGGGGGTTTGTTGTTTTCCTGGTTTTGTTTGGTTCTCATTTCTCCAGGCATCCCGTCGCTGTACCTCGTCACCTCACCTTTCTTTTCTCCTGCTCTCTCCTCCTCCACAGATGCCACACGCTGGCAGTTCTGACCAGCCCCATCCCTCCATACAACAAGGTTTGCACGTCCCACACCCCAGCAGCCAGTCAGGGCCTCCATTACATCACAGTGGGGCTCCTCCTCCTCCTTCCCAGCCTCCCCGGCAACCGCCACAGGCCGCTCCCAGCAACCATCCACACAGCGACCTGACCTTTAACCCCTCCTCAGCCTTAGAGGGTCAGGCCGGAGCGCAGGGAGCATCCGACATGCCGGAGCCTTCGCTGGATGTAAGTTGGGGTCCCCCCTTGCCTTGGCCTGGGGCTGGGCCTGGCGCCCGAGACCTGCCCAGAGAGCAGGGCTGGGTGTTGAGGCTCCAGGCCCGGGTGGAGGAGGTGTAGCCGTGAGGGGCTGGGTGGGTGGTGTGTGGGCCCAGGCAGCTTGTCTCCCCAGGCTTCAAAACCAGGAAACCCCACCATGGGGAAGCCTCCCTGAGGGTCTGAGGGTCCCCTCCCTGCCCTACCAGCCCCTACCCCTCGTCCCTTGGCCCCGGTCCTGCAGCCCAGCCTCGCCCCACCTTCCCCAGGCTCTCAGAGTCCCTCTGGGCCGGTCCAGAGGCAGCGTAGGAGGCTCCTGCCCTTCTCCCCTCCTCCCCCTCTCCGCCCACATTGAGTTTGCCATCTCCGTGTCTGCCACACTCTGGCCCTGGGGCAGGGGAGGGGCTGGAAGGACAGCCCCTCTGTCTCACTGGTGTGTGTCTGTCTCCAGTTTCTTGTCCATGTGTGATCCATGCCCTTGCTTTTGCTTGCTCCATCGCTCACTCTGAGACAGGCCCCTGGATGGGGTGAGGGGCCAGCCTCCGGGCACGGGGCTACCGAGGCAGACGTGGAGGCTGACACTCAGTCTCCCACCTGAGACCTGGATGGTCTGAACGCTGGGAAGAAATGCTGGGGGCGGGGCCAGGGCTAGACAGAGGGTTGGGGGTGAGGGGAGGGAGGACCTGCGGAACTTGCCCTGCCTCCCAGCACCCCCCCCCCCCCCCCCCCCGCAGCTCTAGATTCCCAGGAAGGAGGCCTGCCCTCTCCTCGGCCACTCCTGCCCTGCCCACCCCGCACCCTTGGCCCCACATGTCAGTCTGGGGTGATGGGTGCCCTCACTGTGGGCTCTGCCCAGCTCTCCACCACCCAGGCCAGGGGGTGCCTTAGATTCATGAGGACCCCCGTGTGACAGGAAGACGCCAAGGGCCTCAGGGTAGAGGGTAGGGACCGTGCAGTCTCTGCCCAGGGCCGGTGCGGCCAGCCCGCCAGGGCCTGCCACGGAGTGGAGAGCTCCTGAGAGCGAGATCGGGAGGCAGGAGCTGCAGGGGCCGCCTCCGTGCACAGCGGGTCCCGCTGGGAGGCCCACTGGACTGCCACTCCTTGGGGCAGGTGCCAGGGCAGAGGAACTGCTGCGAGGAAGCTGGCGGGGCCTTCCCAGCTGGTGGGCTGGAAACAAGCACGGGTGCCCCAAACCGCAATGGCCACGTGCATTTGGGGGCAGTTAGCACGGTCAGCTTCCCCCGTCGGGCCAGGACCCCGGGAGGCAGGCAGGCAAGGGAACGGGCATGGAATGCCCCATGTCCCTCAACGGCCCTTCAGCCAGCACCTCATCTGGCTTCTGTGTTTCTTTCCCAGCTCCTGCCAGAACTCACAAACCCCGACGAGCTCCTCTCGTACCTGGACCCCCCGGACCTGCCGAGCAATAGTAACGACGACCTCCTGTCCCTCTTTGAGAACAACTGAAGCCCGCCCTCCGCCGCCGGGCCATCCCTCCCCACTCCGCTCCTTCCCGTCGTCCCACACACTTTCCCGCTGGGAGCCGAGTCCTCAGACCCTCCCCTGCCGTGGCCTCCGCGCGGAGGGGCAGAGGGTGCCCGGTGAGGGTTGTGTCTGGAGCCGGAGCGCGGAGCAGGCCCTGAAGATGACCCTCACAATGGAAGCGCGGCGAGAGGACACTCCGTGTGCTGACCCCCCGTCACGCCCCGAGGCCGCCAGGTTCTTCCATTTTCCAAACTGTAACCCTGCCCCCCTGCTTCTTGGCCCAGAGCCTCCTCTGTGACTGAGCCCGAAAGAAGCCCCAGCCCCAGGCAGCCGAGCCCTGGGGAGCAGTGACAGCTGGCTGCAGGGAGAACCGCCCGCCCACCGCCATCACCCACCACAGAAAAGCACAAGCCTCTGGGACTGCGCACTCACGGAGGGCCAAGGCTGCCCCTTGACCCCTGACCTCTAGCCAAGATGCCCCGTGGACGCTCGCTCAGCAAGCAGAGAAGGACGCGATGCCGTGTCTGAGAGAGGGTGTGCCATTCCTGCGTGGGGACTGGGGGGGAGAGGGTCAGGGCCGCCTCAGAGCCGGGACAGCACAGCGGGTGGCTCCACGACCTTGGACTTGGGCCTGGGAGCGCAGAGAACGAGTGCCCACCGGAAACTATTGTGCCCTTGGTTGGGCGCCCGGGAATGCCGCCAGGTGGTCAGTAGGAACGGCAACGTAAAACGGCTCCAGACCACTCCTGTTTCTGAACAGCAGCCTAAAGCTGCAGAGTCATCTGCAGGAAAGAACATTGGACTTGGACTGCAAGCAAACCGTTTCTCCCCACGTGTTCTGTGTCTTCCCTCCTGCTCCTCTCCCACCTCTCCCAGACTGCTACGTGGAACACCCACTTCCCTCTCTGCTGACTCCCCTTTGTCCCCCCCCAGACGGCAAGGTGGGATGGTGGAAAGGCATGGGAGGTGCCGGCTCAGGGTGCAGGCTTAGCGGGAACCCGGCGTGGATATCTCCAGCCCCCGCTGTCTGGCTGCAGGTGTCAGAGGCCGCCCGTGGTGTGCTGGGTGCACCCACAGGTATCAAGGGTGTCCATGGTGGCCTCAGACACCGCGCTTGGCTGCCAGCCGCTCCCCTCTGTGTCCCTCTGCCGCAGAAAGCTCACCCCACACTCCTGCTGGTTCAGACAGAAGCAGCCTCTGGTTTCCCTCTACCACGTGGCTCCGTCCAGCCGACTGCTCTGGGTCTCCAGGTAGCTGTCCTCTGCTCCCTCCCCCGCACGGCCTGGGATGCTGCTAGGCCAGCGGGTCACCTGTGTCACGTCTGTAAATTCGCTGCGCCCTCCCTGCTGCTGCCTGGGGCCTCCTGCTCTCCTGTCCACCGTGTGCTCCTTCTCCGGCTCCCTCGGGGTGCGGCGGGGCGGGCGGGTGGGTGGTCCCAGCACTCCTCTGCCTCTGACCCACGGGGCCCAGCTGTCGATTTCCAGTCACTACCAGCGGCCAGCACAACGCTTCCTGCGGGAAAGCTGCCGTGGCCCGCTCCCACCTTGTTTCCTTTGTCCCGTCGTTGAGGTTTTTTCAAAAAGTGTGGTGTTCAGTATGCAAATCAATTATTTTAAGAATTGCTTTTGTAAATATCTTTGTGAATATTTTAGTATTGTCTTTGATAATCTTCAGCATTTTCATGACCTGGTTATAGCCTTTGCTGGTGTTTTTAAAATGCCTTGACTCAACGACAAAGACCGAGTCTTTTTTTAAAAAAAAACACACACACAAAAACAAAAAAGCAACCAGGGCTATGTGTGCCGTGAGTTAGAGACCAGGCTGCCCACTGGGAGCGCCACGCCCAGCCTGGTGGGATGAGATGAGAGCAGCAGGGAGCAGCAGGGAGCACGTGGCCGTCCTTGCCCAGTGCTGACAGCCCACAGCCTGGCTGGTAGGCGGTGTGTCGGGTGTGTGGGAATGTCCCGCCCCAGACAGACAGACACCTTTCCTCTAAGTCCCTGCTTCCTGCCATGTACTTTTTCCCAGAGAGGCCTGGGGTTCGTTCTGGTTCTTGTCGGGGTGTCCCTGCTCTGCTCAGCGGCCCTGCCCACAGCTTCCTAGTGCAGGAGGTCACGCACCCACAGCCGGGCCCGGTGCCTCCTCCGCCCTCTGGGGAAGCCCGGGCCTGTACCCGAGGTAGGTCACCTGGATCCCTTCCTTGTGAGCCCCCACCAGCAAGTTCAGCAAAGAGCCTTCCTGAACCTTCTGGGGACGGACTTTTCCAGAGCGATCAGGGGGCCAGGGAGGCTTCCCGGGCTGGGGAAGCCCCAGCTGATGGCTGGTTCCGGAGCAGCCTCCCCCAGCAGGGCAAGTCTGAGCTCAGGAGAGCATCCCTGGTCCTGGTTGGATGACCACTTCGAGCCATAAGTAACCTCAGCAAAAACGAGGCCTCAGCAAGCTCCCTCCCCAAGCCAAGCCACAGGCCACCACTCCACAGATGGGCAGGGCACCGGCCGGCGGCCGGCAGGGAGGCCCCAGTGCAGGCAATCACCCCATCTCCTTGGTTTGAAGCTTTACCCATGTATCATGTTCCCTTTAACCATTTTATTTTTTAAGAAACGTCTAATACTTTGTCCCTAATGGAAGCCCTACACCCCCAGAGAGCTCCGTGTCTGCTCCCTCCATCCAACCTGCCCGGGCAGGGGATGTCAACAGCAGCAGCGACTCCAGGGACGTGTGTACATATGTAAATGAGAAATAGAGACATGTTAACAGATGCATTCATTTCCCCTGGAATGTGTATTGTTTTTATTTTGCGAAACAAAAGGCTTGGAACTCCATCCTAACGTGAAAAAACTAGATCCTGTTGTTAGCATTCGTGAGGTCTCTCTGCATCTGTCTCACTATGTAATATACTCTGACCCCGTGTGGAAAGGAATTTTCGTTCTGTTTCGTTTTTATTTTACCTACATGTACTATCTAGCTTCAGTGTACTAGTCCTGCCACCTGTGTATTTTTAGGGTGCTATGGAAATAATGAAAAGAAATGGGGATTTCGGAAGAAAATTGTAACCAAATCCATACTTTGTATAATTTTTTGATATCATGATCACAGGTGATTCACACGTACACACATGAACACGCCCACCGTGCAGCCCGAAGTAACTCCCACGGAAATCTCCATCGTCTTTGTACATCGTGTACAATGCCGTCATTTCATACTTTAAACTGCTCCGAAAAAGTAATTGTGGTTTCTAGTCTTGCAAAGCTGTATGTAGTTAGATGATGTGACAACTTCTAATATTTATCTAATAAATATGTATTCAGATGAAACCTGTATATTAGGTGTTCATGTGGTTATTTTGTATTTAAAGATCAAATTATTTGACTATTGCTAGACATTTCTATACTCTGTTGTAACACTGAGGTATCTCATTTGCCCATGTTAATTTTTTTCTAAATAAATTGACAAAAAACGAAGGTTTGGCGAACTAGCTATTTTGTGAATGCTCAGGAGTGGTTTGGGCATTTTTGTTCATGCTTTTAAACCACCACCCTGCCCAGTCACCCTGCGAAGGAAAAAGACAGGAAGCCAGTGGCCTGGTGTTGAGTAGGAGGAGTCCCGCAGGGAAAGAGAGATGAATGAACCAGTTCTGAGTGGAGGTGGCCAGGAATTGAGAAATATTAGAAATAAAAAGAGAAGACACAGAGGTAGATTTTAAGCTGGGAGCTGGGTGGGCTGCCATCCTGCCTGCTGGAAAGGCAGGAAGAAGATGACGTGACCCCTCTGAGCGCATTTATTTTATACCCCCAATACCAGGAAATAACACCAACTTATTTGCATTCTTAAGTAAGGCCCTCGCATGCCTGGATTTGCATATCTAGTCCCGCCCCTGCCGACACCTGGGCTGAAGGCCAAGTTGACAACATGTCCTCCATCTTGGGAAAACATGTTCCCAAGGCAAGGCTCTGCCTATGCCTTGAGTTCAGCTGACAATAATTAAAGAAAATTGCCCATGTGCCTTCCCAGGCAGCCCTCTTCAGCTCTGGGTGCCCCTGGAAGAGACCCTGAAACCCAGGGTCCAGTGAGAGCCTTTAGAGCCTGTGCCCTTGCCTTCTGGACCCCTGTCTCAGCCGGCCCTGCCCCGACGGTGGGTCAGGCAGGTGGGGATGGGGGTCTCAGCAAGGCCAGGGGTGTTGGCCAGCACTGCTTTTCTGGATTTAAGGAACAGGAGCCTGTTCCCCTTGTTCGGCCCCAGAGGGCGCTGTCCAGAGCATTTGGGAATGGAAAGAAGCCTGGGCCTCAAGCTCTGGATGTTGACTTAGCCACTCTCTCTCTACTGGCTATCTCTCCACTCTATGCCTTTCCCTGGCCACCCAGCTCTCAGCACCCTCCCCTTTAAGGGGCCTCCCTCGGGTTTTTTCTCCTGTGACTGCACTTTCCTTTGGCTTCTCTCGCTCCAGCCCCGCCCCAGGCCAAGGTTCTAACTCTCCCTACAGCCTCAGCACCCGACAAAGTGCCTGCCCTCCCTGTGCTCACCAAGTTCAGGGAAGGGTGTCTGATTCCGGAGCCCAGCAGCCAGCCACCTGCCTGCACTGAGCTCTGCTTCCAGCGGTGGGCACAACAGATGCTGTGGCCTTCCCTCCACAGGGCCTGGTGAGGGCGGGGCCAAAGTCGGCGCCCCACCAGGTGACCCCTGGCGTGTGCGGGGGACCGTGTGTCAGGACAGTGAGGTCTAGTTGTGAGGAGGCGTGTGTGCAGCAGCGAGCAGGGGTGAAGGCTGCAGGGTGGCATCAGCTACAAAACTAGTTGCCTGTGGAATCCCCCACCTCGGGGGCCTCTCCAAGGGGCCAGTTTCTCTTTCTGGTGAGAGAGAGAAGTTGAGGATAGAAGGCAGATTTACATTAAAATCGAGTCCTGTCCCTGGCCAGTGTGGCTTCGTTGGTTGAGTGTTGTCCTATCACCAAAGGTCGCAGGTTCGATTTCCGGTCAGGGCTCATACCCAGAAAGCCAGCTTAGTCCCCAGCTGGGGTCCATACAGGAGGCAACTGATCAATGTCTCTCTTTCACATCAGTGTTTCTCCCTCTCTCCTTCCCCTCTCTCTAAAATCAATAAGACTTTTTTTTAACAGAACCCTGGCCACTGCTGAGCCTCAGACATTGCCTCCTGCCTCATCACAGAGCACGGAGGGGAGGGGGGGTTCTCTGAGAACATACCTCCTGGGGGAGGAGCAGGGAGGGCATAAGAGAGAGCTTCCGGAGGGCACACCCCTGTCAGCATGAGAAATTGCCAAACCTGTAGAAAATTTTTATGAGTTTATTTGAACCAAACTGTCAGCAATTGCAGAGAAGCAAAATCTCAACGGATTGAGAAAACACTTTGGAAAATGGCAGTTTTGCTCTTATTTTGTGCATCTGAATCAAAGGAGAAGACAGTGGGGTTACATGACATTCACTGGTGATAGAGTAGAAAGAGCTCTGAGACTGGATAAAACGTAAGCCCTGCTGGTTTGGCTCAGTGGACAGAGTGTTGGCCTGCAGACTGAAGGTTCCTGGGTTCAATTCTGGTCAAGGGCACGTACCTCGGTTGCAGGCTCCAGGCCACCAATCCATGTGTCTCTCTTACATCCATGTTTCTCTCTCTGTCTCTCCCCCTCCCTTCCACTCTCTCTAAAAATCAATGGAAAAATATCCTCAGGTGGGGATTAACCACAACAAAAATGGACAGACACATCCTCCTTGTTCATTGGTGGGTGCAGGACAGGTAACAGTTACAGGCTGTAGAGATGGTATTGGAGTCCCAGGGTAACACAGAAGCTGAGCTCGGTGGTGGCTGTGCCCTGAAGAGTCTGGAAAAGAAGACAGTGCTCACTTTCTAAAGGGAGACTATCTTCGATGCTGTGACAGGGAGTTTCCATTTTTACCATCCTACCTGGTTACTTCCGGTCTCTGAGTTTGTAAGGCCGCCACGCAGGCCTCCCCTGAGCTTGTCAGGTTGAATAAGTGGCCCCCTGTTCGTCCACACCGTGCCCCCATTGCCTGGGAGCAGTGCTTCTCCATCCGCCGCTGAGTGACCCGAGAAGTCAGTTTGGTGGATTGTGACCAGCACTTGTTAATGAAATAATCGGGAATAGAAACATCAAGAGCACCCTAGAGCCAAAACTGGTTTGGCTCAGTGGATAGAGCGTCGGCCTGCAGACTGAAAGGTTCCAGGTTCGATTCTGGTCAAGGGCATGTACCTTGGTTGTGGGCACATCCCCAATAGGGGGTGTGCAAGAGGCGGCTGGTCAGTGATTCTCTCTCATCGATGTTTCTAGCTCTATCCCTCTCTCTTTCTCTCTGTAAAAAAAAAAAAAAAAATCAATTATAAATATATATATATATATATATATATATATATATATATATATAAAGAGAGAGAGAGAGAGAGAGAGAGAGAGAGAGAGAGAGAGAGAGAGAGAGAGAGAGAGAACCCTAGAAAGTAAGGGTGAGGACTGCGTCATGAAACTCAGTACAGGTGTGTGTGTGTGTGTGTGTGTGTGTGTGTGTGTGCGCGCGCGCGCTCTGAATCATGATGTAAAAGTAATTATTACTTGTGGCTTGTGGTTAAAAACAAAGAGTTTGAACGTCATTGCCTTATAGGCAGGAAGGAGGGGTGGGAAAAACAGAAACACAAGATGACCCATGGGCTGCAGGATGTGACACATGGCCTCAGACTTGGGAGGGAGGGCCATGGCAGGAGAGGAGGGGAGAAGGGGAGGGAGCTGAACTCCAAGCACCCTGGAGCCGGAGCCAGGCCCTCTGCTGGGCTTTTCCCATGGACTTTTCTCCTCTCAGATCCCTGGGAGGAAATAGCAGGTCTCAGTGGCTGTTGGGTGAGCAACCATAGTCTTCATTCGCACTGCTGGTTTCAGGTTCTGAAGCCAGAGTGCAAGGAGGTTTGTTTATCTGGAAGTTAAGGAAACACACTGCCCACCCTGCAAAGCCTCCCCCCTGAGCCTCACAGCTGTCCCTCCGCACAAGCTTCAGGGGGCTGTTGGGAAGAGGCACTGGCACCGCAGGTGAATTCCAGGACAAACCAGGGTCTCCAGCCTCACTGACTCAAAGCACGGTCTGTGTGCCCACCCACCCATCCCCCACCCTCTGCTCCAGCTTCCTGCTCAGCCATGCCCACCTCACTCTAAGCAGGTTACCCCCATCACACAAACCCCACTAACTACCCCCACCCACAAACCTGCCTTTATCCTCCCTCAGCCTTGTCTTCTTCTGCCCAGGCCCACAGGATGTGGTATCCCTCCCAGCCCCTGGCACCACCACTTCCTCCTCTAGAGGGACTTCATCTATCAACCAGCCCCTCTCCTACATCCCTGCACCCTCCCCCGCCCCCTCCAGGTCTGGAGCTGAGCTGTGG